GAAAAAAAAATTAAGTCAAATTCCAAATGCAGCCTCTAGTATCAAGGTCTTCTTTTACTACTCAAGGCTCTTATCTGATCTCTTTTCCTTTAGTTCCCAGACACCTGATTGGGTATATGAGCGGACTCTGTACATACCTCCCTCATCTGTGTTCTAACAGGCTCTCTATCTAGATTTTGACTCTGCTTTATCACAGTTCCCTGGCTCTGACCTAGTCTAGAATCTTGCTGTGAATGTCAGAGTTTGGAATATCTTCATTCCAAATTGCTTACACCTGGATCCAAGTTCTCAGCACTGACTTCCTTTGGGATGTCTCACTGCTGTCGATGTTTCTCACTTTGTGTTTCCAGTCCTGTATAGTTCTCCTGGTTCTGGATTCTTCCCTACCACCTGTTGCCTACAGAATCAGCACTGATAGATACAAGGAGCCATGAAGGGAGAGAATATGCTAATAAGAAGCATTGGGGGAATTAAACTCAGGAAAGAAGTATCTGGTTGAACTGGTCTATGGTATTAAATTTATGGAGAAGAAAAATACTTTTTTCAAAAGAACCTCAAGCCCTCTACAAAGACCAGTATTTTTTCTTTTCACTTAATATTTGGCTTTCTGTTTTCACTACAAGTCTTTCTCATTTAGCCTAAAAGTCTATGAAGTAGCCCTGACAGTATCCTCCTCTTCCCTTAGCAGTGTTTTGGATGAAGGAGTGGGGAAAAGAAACTGGTGCTATGATGGGTTCTCTAGGTTATTACAGGGAAGTCAAAGGAGGGAGGTCTAGGGGAGGCTATCATTGCAGCAGAAGATAATTACCTTTAATCCAGGCAGTTATCAGCACTTTCTTATTATAGCACATCTCCATGTAAGCTTAGATGTAAAACTTAAGAGTTCTTTATAAATAACAGACATTTGCGTTAATATTATAAAAAGTAAATTTGGGGACAAAGCATACAGTAAGTTTTATCTACTGACAACACACAACACAGATGTACAAACCAAAATGCTGTAATCCCGTTACTTGGAGGCTGGGGCAGAGAGATCTCAGTGCCTTTGAATCACATAACAGTACAACCGACACAGAAAAAGATAATGGCATTATAGCTCATTCATCTCTTTAAAGAGATCCTACTTTAATAGTATGCAACTTCTCCTGAGTTGCAAGGCAAGTATATATTCTGCTTATCACCTCTAGATGCAGAAATACAATCTACTTTGGGGAAAAACTGAAAAGGCATTCTAGTGCTTATCATATTTAATGTCAGTATATCATATGAAACTCCTGCTTACTCACTTTTATTATTCTGTCTTTGATTCCAAGGTGCTATTGTTCTTTTGGTTTTCTCTTACTCCTATGTTTGACCCTCCTTTATTCACTCTTATTCCTCTGTCCACCTCTACTGGTGTTGCTAAGAATTTTGTACTTTGCCTCTTTTCACTTTTTTATGCTCTTTCCAGGTGATCTCATCTGTATTTTGCATTCACAGCTACCCTCTTGTAATTCCAAAAATGTTATTTTAGATCTCTTACCTAAGATCCAGACAATTATATTCAACTGACTACTGGACATGTCAGTAGCTTTTAAATCGCCTTCTCTGCTTCCAGCCTTTCCAACTTTCAATCCATTCTTCACACTTATGACAGTGATTTGTACATCACTGGCAGATTTAAAAGTGTTCAATGATTCACAACAGCATTTAGCATTAAAAAAAATGCTAAAGTCCTTAATATGATATGGAGGGCCTGTCAATGTCTAGTCCAATCTCATCTCTCTGAAAGTAAGTGTGGTCCTCTGAACAAGGCCTCTACCCTCCTGGGCTTTTGAAAAGATTGCTCCAATTTTTGAAAACCTCTCCTTGACTATGCCCATCATGGGATTAATCCCGTATGCTTCAAAATGAGCTCGGTTGGCAATTAAATTCGGTATTTACTGAGGACATTTTATATGCCAGGCACTAGGTTCCTGCAGTCATGGAGTTTATATTCTTGCAAATGTGCATGTGTGTGTGTTTGTGTGTGTATTACAGGGGAGCAGAGAGGCAAACAAATAAATAGGAAACTATCAAATGGTGATAAAGCTTATGATTAAAATGAAACAAGCTGATCTGACAGTACGAGGATGGGAAGGGTGTTTCCTTAGATTGGACAGCTAAACACTTCTCTTAGGAAAACCTGAGATCTCCTTATGGAAGCTATTCGTACCCTTGCTTGAACAGTCTGCTTATCAAAGCATCCACCATACTACTTTTAATGCATATGTTTTCACTTGTGCATTTCCATGCCTCCATATACTTAGTTCTTGAGGAGAAGAACTCTGTCTTTTCCATTTCAATCTCTCTGCCTCCTAACACAAAGCTGGGCACATGGCAGATGCAGAATAAAGGTTGAGAAAAAAATTAATGAAATAAACCAGCTCTCGAATGAGGGAGTAAAAAAGGAAACAGACCACATTGAAGTATTCAGACCCAAATAACAATTACATTCAGATGGACAACAGCTGGTGGTCCCCACTTCCATGCCATACACTCTAAAAGGGAGAAAATGGATGACAAAGCTTACCCGAGCAACTTGATATGATGTCTGAATCTCCTCCCATCCTCCCAAACTCCTTCTTACGCCCTGATTCTATTTTGGGTCTTTGTTTTCTTAATGCTCACAGGTTACTTCATTTCCTTCAGACATTTGTTTCCCCAGAGCCTGACTTTAGTTAGCCTGAATCTGACCTCGAGCTTTAACCACAGCCTGTAGAATCTCAGTTCTTTTTCTTTGGCATTCACAACATAATGTAGTGACCCCTGCTTTTCCCTACAATTATGGCCTTAGCTTTGTTTTCTGCTTTATACAAACTAAAAATGACTGAATTATCTACTCAGTCACATTCTGACATTATTCCCTTAAATGAATCCTGCTTTAGATTCTTGGTTTTCTTTATCCATAGTGTGACCATATAATTTGTCAGTGAAATTGGGACTCTTTTTGAAAATGAAAAAAAGGATGCTTATTATGGACAGCAGGTATACACCAGGTTTTACGGTCCTTCTCTTCATCCAGCAGTTTACTTTTCAAGAGTCCCAACTGCCAACAATGACTTCCTTCTCGACTTTCTGTTGTTGTGGGCAGGCTATTTCCTTGCACTTTAACTTCCATTTGAGTTTCAGATTTGACCTTTTCAATGCTGAGGAGCTTTTTAGGATTTATCAAAACCTAGTGTAGAAATTCATACATGGCAAGTCCTCATAAGGTTAATAACATAGCTAACATTTATAGACCTTTTATCATAAGATAGCATTTTAATAATAAGCCTCTTATATATTTTATTGAATTCTTTTTGCAATCTAGTGTTCATTCAGTGTACTTATATCTGGTACATCTATTACAGATCTGTCTGCCTATGAGTGTTCATGTTTTTAAACTACTACAATATAATCTCCCACTGAAAGATCTTTTAATAGAGAAACATCAATAAACTATAAATGAAATGTATATAAATCAAACAAAACTACACTAAAATAAAGTATTAATCTGAATTTTAAAACTTATTAGCTTTCTTTTTTCTTTTCAAAACCTATCCTTTTATTTTCTACTGGACAGTATCTTAAATAGCAATATACTTGTTCTCCATAACCAGAGGAAAAATTATAAACTTTAATCTGAAAGTAATGTCATTATTGATTCCCAGTGTTGAAAATAATTATAAATGACTGAGTCATTTTCTCTTGCTATGACTGTGTTCTTAGCTTTCCTTTACTATTATTAGAAACATTACTTTATCTGTTTGTTAATTTTTTAAAACTTCTTTATTTCTCTTTATTTTTTATTTATTTCTCTCATTAACAACTATCATAACATCTATTTCCTAAACTAATGGGTTTCCAAAAGTCTGAAGCTCTATATCCTAACACTGAAAAATTTTGAGCATTTTCTCAATAAATGGATGTTAGAAATTTTATATATATATACACACACCAATGTAGTAACAGACTGAATAAACTATAGAACACACTCTTAAATAGAAATAAAAACTATGAAATTAAAAGTCTAAGTCCTAATAATTTTCCTGCTTCCCACAGGGTTACCTTGTCTATTCTCTAAAAGATCACTGTGTAAGCTCATCATCTGAACTAGTGTATCTCAAATGTTAATCTGTGTATGAGTCCTACTTTTAAAGCAGATTCCTTTTCACTATGTTTAAGATGGACTGGAGATTTTGTATTTCTAACAGGGTCTCTAGTGATGTTAATCCTATTCACATGCTAAGTAATGAGAACTGCAACAAGAGATTAATGCTTAGCCAAATTTATGTTTCTATCTTCCAGGGGTAAAATACACAGCAGATTGTAAAGTCAATCTTCCATTACTGGGGGCAAAACTACTTTTTATACCATACAACAATCATTATACATATTAATCAAAAACAAAAATAAAATCTGTAATGTAAATAATCATCATGACTAGGTATACCCTTGGTTAAACTCAGAGTATCATAAACACACTGATTTTGCTTTTACACATTTCTTTTCTATCACCACAGACAGCAGTGAATAGAAATTAAGAGAAGAAACTAAGGAGAAAGAATAAAATGGATTAAAACATGTATTTTCATCTGCTTCCAAAATAAAATTAGTAGGCAGGAAACCTTTGTTTAACTATTTTCAACTGAGGCTCATGTTTATATTAATGGAGTCAACAGCTATCAGGTTTTCTTTGATTTTTAGTTTTTTAATGCAAAGTGAGCATGGTCAAGATATAGCATTTAAAAAGTCAATCTTAAATTATTACAACTTTAAAAGGTCCAAACAGCTTATATGTACAGAACTTACATATGAAACTCAGGCAAATTCAGAATATAAGCAGAACAAAATCAGAAAGTATTTTGGTCTCACTGTTAGGTTTCTAGTTCCTAGTAAACTCCTCAAGTTTTAATACACTGACTGCATGAAAACACTCCATACCCTCTAATGATCTCCAACAGGTAAATGCCCAGGAGGAAACCAGCACCAACCATTACCTTGTCGATCAGTTTCCTTGCTTCCACTTCCTCACTGTTGGGATTCTCTAACTCAATGGTGTAAGTGCCCTTGTCACTTTGGTCATCATCATTATCCTTCTCAGAGGCAGCAGACGTAGCTTGGTTTTTTAACATTTTATCCATCTCCTGGCTTGGTCTGTGCCCAAGACTCCCTGAGCTTCTTAACAATGCAGTCTGTAGGAAGGGAATTGACACCGATGGCTCCTCTGATTTCTGTTTTAACAATCTCCCATGCGGGACACCATGCCCCCCTCTGTGGTGCGCAGAGCTAGTCTGTAAAGACAAAGAAACCACTTTGGCATCTGCTGTTGGAGATTTTGTTTTTTCAAGTTTTGTATGTGGTGCTGAATAAGTAGTTTCCTGACACAAGATTCCCGTACTCTGAGTGAAAGAATAGGACCTTCTTTTTCTGGGATTGTCTTCATCAAAGAATGCAATCATAAAAGCAGTTTGACTTACAACAGCTTGGTCTTGATGCTTTTCAGTAGCCTGGGCCTTCTGTAGTTTTTTCTGTTCTGAATGGTGGCGCCTTAAGTGTTCCTCAAGAGTTGCGCGCTTGCTACAACGCCTGTGAGCCCCAGCATTTTCTGAGTCGCTTTGTGTACCATCATCATGTTTGTTTCCTGGACACAGAAAAGAAACCGCATAACAGAGAAGGGAAAAAAATCCTATGTAGAAAATCAAAGCATATACAAAAGTGCTGCTTGTTCTGCCCCTCCCCCCTTTCAATCCAAAGTCATATGTTCTTTTCAGTAACAGGCTCTGCAAACTTCCCTCAATTGCAATGCTTACATTCAAATTTCATCAACCAACAATGAGTCCTTTATAAACACTTGAATAGGATTACTTTTCTTTCTTCAAATTTTAACTTTATAATAGTTCATCAATGCCTTAAAAGATAAGCAGTGCTACAACATCTGTGATAGTCTGTATTTGTAACATTAAATATTAATCCTGCCTTTAAACTTTATACCTGATTTAAACAATCAAAAATTTATCTTTAGCATTAGAAAGGAAAAGACAGAAAAAAGTGTGATCCCACCGAAATGCTTATCATTATACAGGAAAAGAGAATGTAAACTCTATTAAAAAGAGTGTGATGAATCGTTAATCTCAGTGATGTTCAAAACTTCCAAAAGTACAGCATTCCTTTCCTTTTTAATATATAAAAATGCAAATTTTCAGTTTCCACCAATTACTGTACAATTCTTTACAAACATCTTTCTAGCTATGATAATTTTTGCAATTTTGTATGTGTGCTCACTTAAACTCTGGTGGCTTCAACAAGTTAAATAAAGCATGCTAAAAGGTCTAGCGTGGAAAAAGCATAGACTATGAAATCCTATATAAACCTACCAGACAAATGGCATGTTGCTAAATATAATGAGATAAAAATATGTTTTCTCCATTAAGCATATAGTCAAGATAGAATACTGCAGTTGAACTTCAAAACATCAGCTTCCTAACAGAGGCTTTTTGTTACTCTTCATAGCTCTGTTAAGGATTAAGTGTGAAACTTTATGAAAATTACTTGATTTTTCACTGATTCAGAATTCTTATCATGTAAACAGTAAGTACACTAGAGGAAATAATCAAATGACAATTATTATATTCTTATAGCATGAATTTAATGGAAAGTTGAGTTATTCTATGTGTTTTAGACTGAATTACAAATGAGGGCTTAAAAGATAGCTCTTTAGAAAAGAAAGCTTAAATGAATCTAGTCAACCAGCTGTATTTCAATACTTCCAGAACTAAATCTGAAAATCTTGCTTCAAATTAGCAACTACTGAAAATGTAATACGAAAAGAAAAAAACAAAAATAAAATGGTGTTTAGTTTAACTAATGGAATTCCTGTGTTGGTAATTAACCTAGGGATAAAGGATAGGCAGATGGAATGCAGAAGCAAACAAAACCACTAGTTCAAATACAAAACTCATGAAAAATAGGACACTGTAAAACCTATTTCATATTGTACTGGATATACTGAAAAGGAATCCAGTTTGTAAGAGCTGTAAATAACTAAACTTCCATATTTCATGTGTCGTGGGACCAGAAAGCCCACATTACACACATATACAATATGAAAACACCATCTTTACAGACTCTAGTTCTTGTTCAGTTCAGTTGAGTCCTGTCACTCAGTCGTGCCTGACTCTTTGCAACCCCATGGACTGCAGCATGACAAGGTTCCCTGTCCATCACCAACTCCTGGAACTTACTCAAACTCATGTCCATAGAGTCAGTGTTAGTTATATGTTATTCCTGGTAACAGGTTCTATGTTATAACATAGTTATATATGTTATAACATATATATAACAAGTTATATGTTATAACATATATATAACATATAGTCATATGTTATGACATACTTATATGCTAATTCTTGTAACAACGTATAAAAATTTGGTGCTTATCTGGTGTCAGGGCTTTTCAGTATCTTTTAAGTTATAGGTTAAAGGGTTATAGATTAGCCATTTTCTTTGTAGAAAATTATTCTTCTTTTTCATTTCCCAGTGTTATACAAGATAATACATCTGATCAGAACTGCAATTTTTGTTATTTAACAAAAAAATCATTAGGAACTATTAAGATTTTTTTCTGTTTTGTCCATCATTAATCATGCATTAATATGTTGAAGTTCTTCTAGTATTTTTTAGGATAGATTGACTGTAACTAATCAGTAGCTGTGACCAAAAGAAGCTTCAATTCTCCTAAAGGGTAAAAGTACATGGGCTTTGTGAACATCATTATCTTCACTGTCCCAAAGCACGTGCATTTCACTCTTGTAGGAGCAAAGTTGTTTTGTTTTGCCTACTTTCAAGTTTTTGACTCATCTAAGCAGTTGCTGAATGTTTAATTATTGTAAAATAGTTTCTATTTGCTATACTTATATTAGAGTCTAGGTATATACATTTGATCTCTTAAATTGTGGAAAATCTTCATCTAATGATAGCAGGTCTAACTTTGGGGGAAAGTAAAATGTCATTTGTAAATAAATCTGAAAAAATAAAATGGATAAATCTTGGATAAAAAATTAGGCATATTCACAAAGACATTTTCTTAGATGGTTTGTAAAATGTCCTGAAGGCAAATTTAAAAGTAGGGTTCTATGCAATGGCAACATACTAGAATATATCTACCTATAAATCAATTCTGAGGGATAATAATAATTTGTATAATTTCTGGCAAGGATTTAAAAAATCTAACATAACATATGAATACAGTCTGAATGTGAACATTAATGCCTCTAACCAGAATCAAAATAATAGCTAAAACAGAAAACAGTCATTATAAGTAAACTTACAGTTACAATAAAAGGGTATAATAAAGGTTTTTCTTTTTTTTTGGCCATACCACATGTCATGGAGGATCTTAGTTCCCCAACTAGGGGTGAAACCTGTGCCTCCTGCAGTGGAAGCAGAGAGTCTTAACCACTGGAACATCAGGAAAGTTCCATAAAGGTATTTTTTAATGGTGGTTTATCTTGTAGCTCATTTGTGTACATTTATTAAGGGTGGTCTAAAGAATATATTATTTCTAAATTTTCAAAGTTTACACTGCTTTTTATATTATTCTAGGATATCAGTCTTATTTTATCCAATCCATAAAAAATGATCAGTTAACAAATGGGTAGCTTTTATACGTAAGCTTTAACCTATATATATCTCAATACATGTACAGGTCTCAATTATATATGTTATTATCTAGTAGGAGTAAAAACAACAATTACATGTCAAAAGTTTGTATGCCAGGTAACTGCTTATGATTATAATTAAATATGTTAATAGGCCCTGGCAAAGAATTAGGTAATCATACCATCTCACTATCTCAAAATGCCTTAGAAGCAAATAGGAAATGGGTATTTCTTCAATTAAGTGAATAGAATCCCAAACTATAAAGTACAGGTTAAACCAGGGTCAGTTTTGTCAATGATAATGAAGTCATTCATTGATTATTCAAATTACTGAGTACCTATCACATACTCAAGTCCCAGGAAAGGGCTAGAGATATAAGGTAAGTAATAAACAATCTCTGACTTCAACAAGTACTCTTTTAAAGCTCTTTAACTTTTTGTATGGTAACAGAATGATCAGATTAACATGTAATCACTTCCCTTATAGTAAGCTTGTCAAATAAAATCAAGATATAGTAACATAAATCTGTATTCAACAAATTCTAAATTAAAATTTAACTAGCAAAATCAATGAGGGGAAAATGATTAGCTGATACTCTGATGTATTTTAACTAACTTTGGTCAAGTATTTTTAATAAAACATATTTAATAATTATTTCAAAAATAAACATTTAACTGCAATTTTCACTAGTGAAAAAATTCTTAATTCAATTGATTCCTAGTATCGCTCAATAAAATTTGTTTTATGATATGAGTATCTTGAGAACAGTCTGAAACACTCCACCAACAATGTGACTATATTGCCAAAGTAGAACGATAAGCCCATAATTCAGTAAAACATTCAAAATCTACATATTGACATTTTACAGGAAGCACACAGTTGAGAACAGAATTAAACATATATTTTCCTTAAATCAGGAAAATGATGAAAACTGTCTTCTAAGGAATTCCACTGGTGAAATGAATGAATAGTTCCACAGGAAAAAGAAACATATTTAATGGCATACATATAAATTTACAAAACCAATTTGGTTTTGGCAAGAAAATGATGGCAGACTGTTTTGATTGAGTAAGTTGGATATGGGCAGAATGGCTGGCTTTTGAACTTTAAGATCAAATGTAAACCTTCAAAAAAGTAGAAGCAGAAGCTTTATATCATATAATTATTTTTCTAATCATAGTTTGGTAACTGTGAAGACTGAACTTAACCATAAAAAAGGAAGTTCTGAAAAGTTACCTTTCAACCTTTTCAAGTAAACTGGAACATCACTTTTAATACTTTTGGAATCCTCTTCTGTTCTTTCCCATACCATCTGAGGAGGGTTGTTCTGTGCTAGCCAGTCAGCTACTTTGTTTTCGGGTGCCATCATTCCAGTTTGAATCCCTGGCAGGTCTTGAGTTCCAGGAGAAGACTTCTTTGACTTGTGGCGCTGATCAGAAGCAAATTTTGTCACATGATCTCTAATAGTTACTTTCCCTGGGGTACTGTCATCAAATTCAATGGTAAATGAAGCATGCCCTGCACCTGCTGTATGAGAACTTGGTGTGTCTTTTGTTGGGACTTCATGAATAGTGCTCTCTGTTATTTGTGATGGTTGCTGAAATTCTTTTGTAGGGATTTCAAAATAACTTGGTTCTCTACAGAAAGGAAAAAGTACTTCTTCATTTGCAGCTGCAGATTGTTCTTCAACTTGCTTGACATCTACGCTGCACCCTAATAAGAAAAATAAGAGAAAATTCAAAATATTTGGGAGCTTCTAGAACTTGAAGGAGTACAGTAATGGCCACTTCCATTACTCCATGGGGATCGGAAGGCAGATCGCTGCTTAGATGAAAAAGAATGACAAATGTCATAAAAGAGAAATAATTTCGATTATAAACATGGCATTCCCATTACCAATAGGAGATGCAAGATAAGCAGCAGTGGCAAAGGATAGCAAAGTAGTTAAGAAATGGGATTTTGCATGGTTAGGTCTATATTGTTTCCAACGTGGATCCAGAAATTATCAAAAGTACAAAAGAAATGAAATCAAACGTAGATGGAGATGTATGTTCAATGTACATATCTACAGAGATTAAAAAAAATATGAATTTCCTTATCAAGTAAGGAGGATGAAATATTGCAAAAACAAGTAAATTTCTAAAGGAGAACGAGTGTTCAAATGAAGAAAGAAACATGAGGTTAATACATGAGCAACATTCTGGACAGGATGATTTTACTTACCATTCTTCATCACAATTCAGAGACATTACTTTTAGAATGACAAAAATAATATTACTAATGTGTGTCCTTACAAGAAGACAGATAACATTTTATAAAGAAAAGAATGAGTAAAGATAAGACATGTGGTTTGCTTGTAAAATGCAATCCAAGCAGCAGTGTGAAACAAGTAAGTTAAAAATAGAAAATTCAGTTGCCAGCCAATTAATTCCAAAAGAAAATTCATGTACATTTCTATATAGCAGAATATGCCCAACTGTCAAAAATCCTTAGAGGAAAGCTGAATTATAAATCTCAGATCACCAACAAGAGTTGGCATAAGCAAGTAACTCTGAAACACTGCTCCTCTGTTGCCTCAGAGACAAATAAGAAGGTATGAAAATAAATGCATCTCTATATAAAATATGTGAAGGCATATAAATGAAAATGATAACTGAAATGTTTTAAATCTGTTATCAGATATTACAAATGCAAAAAAAAAATTTAAGATTAAACTGCTTTGGTTTTCAGGAAGCAAAAGAACTATTATCAAGATGGTAAAGAGTGAATTCAAATAAAAACTATTTCCCTAAAGCTCAAAAAAGCATTCCTTTTAAAAACACACTGATAGAAAAATCATTTACAGATAATTTATTAGGAAAGAAAACAAAAGGGACAAGGTTGTTTATAATCATTTTCTAATTAAGTGAAGTATTTGGTCTCTTGAAACATTTTCCAAATATTAAATACTGATGGAATTCTTCTGGTGCTATAATCAGTTTCTTAGCAATACTCTGAATATGAAACAGTCATAAAACTGTTTGCTTTTAGATTATACAAGAACGTTACAGCAACATCTCTACAGTTCAATGTGTGGCACAAGGTAGTGCTCGCGTGCTAAGTTGCTTCAGTCATGTCTGACTTTTTGTGATCTAAGAACTATAGCCCACAAGGCTCCTCCCCATGGGATTCTCCAGGCAAGAATACTACAGAGGGTTGCTATTCCCTTCTCTAGGGGATATTTCTGACACAGGAATCAAACTCACATCTCTTATGTCTCCTGCACTGGCAGGCGGGTTCTTTACTACTAGCGCCACCTGGTAAGTTCCAAATTAAGAATCATCTCTAGTGCAAAACACAACCAATGAGGATGGCAAAGAATCTGCCTGCAATGCAGGCGAACCTGGTTTGATTCCTGGGTTGGGAAGATCCCCTGGAGAAGGGATAGGCTACCCACTCCAGTATTCAGGGGCTTTCCTGGTGACTCACACGGTAAAGAATCCACCTGCAATGTGGGAGACCTGGGTTTGATTCCTGGGTTGTGAAAACCCCCTGGAGGAGGGCACAGAGCATTAAAGATATCAAGTTCCACTTCCAAAAAAAAAAAAAGTGAATATTACACAGACAGTAAACACAATATATAACAAAAACAATTTTTAACAGAAAAATTATCCTTGTCAAATCTACTTAGTTTTTCCTCACCACTGAAAATAAAAAAAGTGTATCAGAAAAACTCTATGCTATCAAAGCAGTAATTCTACACACTACCTAGAAGAAGATACACAAGATTCTTAATAACCTAAGTAATGTTTCAAAAACTTCTTTATTAAAGAGTTCATTTATTTTTTCCTTATTATTAAAATGTCCACTTGAATGTTTACTTTGAAGGTCTGTACCTTAAAATTACCATGAGAGTAAAATGCATTGGCTGCTCTCTATATATTGATAAAATCACTGATGTTTTTATTTTTTCATACATTGGTTTATTTACTAATTTAATAATGTACTGTGCCTGATCAATTTCATATAGAACTATCCTTCCTATCTACCTGTCCTCATTCATTCATTTTGCTTTCCGCATCCTTATAGGTAACAGAGTAACACTGAGGACAAAAAGTGGCAGCTTCCTACTACACTACCTGAATACTCAAATAAATGATGTGACTGAACTATGGAGCAATAACTACAACAAGCTGGCCCAGGGGTATAGCATTTATCATCTAGTTGTCACTACTGATTCAAATGAATATGTTCTCAATTTTCCTCCCTTGAGAAGAAAAAACTTCAGTTATTTCTGACACACTTTTAACATGCTTTCACTTTGTAACACATTAAAAAGCAGAGGTCACCAACTGCACGTAACTATTTTTAAGGTTATTATTTCCTAAGTTATTCCTACTTAAAAACTGACTTTCCTTTAAAGATTAGAATCTGAGACTTCTATACGTTAACACCCAATCTATCCAGTAATCAGTTATCTAACAATGTCAAGTAGCACAACAGAGTAGAAAGACAGCATTCATGATCTGATGATTATAGCCAAACAGCCTGGTTTAGGAGAAAGCAGGAAGAAGATTTGAAATCAGGTAAGTCCCACCTCTATCAGTTCTTAATTCTCATTTTTCTCATTGTAAAATGAGAAAATAATACCCACTCGTAAGATTGTTGTGAAGATTCAGTGAGGTATGTATTAACTGAGATAGCGTAAGTCACCCAGAAAAAGTCTGGAACAAAGTAGGCATACAAATAAATGTTTCTCTTACTTTTTCTCCCCCAACTCTCCAACACAGCTAACTAGGGAAACAAGAAACTAAAACCAAACATCTAACTCTAAAAGACCCAAGACAGATATGACAATACCTATACCCTCTTATCTGTGATCTTTACCAGAAGGAAAGTCCCTCATTGGGAACCTTTTCTTTGACTATTTGCTCAGATTACTTGTGACAAATCTGGAGGATATGTAAAAGCAAGGATTAAGGTCAGATATACTGTGCTAAGAAAACGAGTCAACTGGTCGAGATAAGTCAAAAAACAATCAAGAGCAGAAATGTGGCTCAAAAACACAAAAAGAGTTCATTTGAATCAGTTCTAATGAGATGGATGAAACTGGAGCCCATTATACAGAGCGAAGTAAGCCAGAAAGATAAAGACCATTACAGTATACTAACACATATATATGGAATTTAGAAAGATGGTAACGATAACCCTATGTGCAAAACAGAAAAAGAGACTCCTATGTATAGAACAGACTTGTGGACTCTGGGAGAAGGCGAGGGTGGGATGTTTCAAGAGAACAGCATTGAAACACGTATATTATCTAGGGTGAAACAGTTCACCAGCCCAGGTTGGGTGCATGAGACAAGTGCTCGGGCCTGGTGCACTGGGAAGACCCAGAGGGATTGGGTGGAGAGGGAGGTGGGAGGGGGGACCGGGATGGGGAATACATGTAAAAAAAAAAAAAAAGATACACTATGGTTGTGATAAAAAATAAAAAAAAATTAAAAAAAAAATAAAGTTAAAGCAAAGGTAATTGAAAAAAAAAATAATAAAGTTAAAGCAAAGGTAATTGAAAAAAAAAAAAACAAAAAACACAGCAGTTCAGAACCATTCAGTAAATGGGCAAACAGTCTTACATACTTCAAGTCTCCCAAGGACACTACTGTAACATATAGTTCAATTACTGATATTCATAATGAGGCTTCTGAGTCATAAAGTAAACATTTTAATATATTCACCCTTCTTTGCTTAAGAAAGGAAATGACATGAGTAAATAGAAATTAAGGGAATGTTTAAACTTAAAAAAAAATTGCAGCTGTAAAAGTGAAGTTTGGTCATCTGGAAAATTCATTAGTAGAGGAAATCATTTTGCCAAAGATGATAAAACCAGGCCTACTATACTTGGGATTGTAGGCCCACTAGAGAAATTGAGAGTCTTCTAAATTAATACAGGAAAATAAAACAGCTTTCCTCTCTCAGTACTGGTAACAATCATTCTGAAATTTATGAATTTAACATTCATTTCTCTTCAAAACCTGTTTTATTTATACTAAAGTAAACTCAGTCATGTCTGACTCTTTGCGACCCCCACGGACTGTAGCCCTCCAGGCTCCTCCACCCATGGAATTCTCCAGACGAGAATACTGGAGTGGGTAGCCATTCCTTTCTCCAGGGGACCCTCCCGACCCAGAGATTGAGCCTGGGTCCCCTGCATTGCTGGCAGGTTCCTTACCATTTCAGCCACAAGGGGGGCGCTAAATACTCTTAATGAGATTAATAATAAAACATTGGCATGAATAAAATATTATTAGAATAATTTCCATTCATACTAATACTTAATTATTAATCTTGACTAAGAGTATTTAATAAATGATCATGCTAGAATCAATTATGGTTATCTAAACCAGAAGAGCAATATCCTTAAGTTCTTAAGGCATTTTATGATTGTGTCACTTTCCAGGGAATCTCACGATATACATAATCTAGAAAAAAATGTTCCCTTCCTCCTTCTGTACTAAATTACATGAAATATTAAGCTATTTCAAGATGCTTACAAAGACTGTAATTATGAACGCGAATTCTACTTAAGATATCCATCCAACCTCGTACGTTCAAGTACTTCAAATTACAAAGACTGGGAAACTCCTTTAATAAAAAGGAATTACAACTCTAAAGTTTTTAAATTTAGTTCAATTAGATTAAAAAATCAGTGTTAAAGAGCCAAAAATCTACTCTTTACAGTTGTATGCAACCTTTTCAAAATGTATGCAACACTTAGAGGCCTTTAACTTAAAAAAGGTTTAAACCACGTTAGCAGGTTGGAGAATACATCTGAAATAAATTGAGGACAAGTTCTCCTTTAATAGGACTCAAAATATTCACACTACTTCAGGAGAACTTTACTGCTCTAATATTTGCTTCTAGGGTTTTGGGGACTTTAAGGTAAATCGGTAGGAGATTCTGGATACACATGGACTCACAGAAAGGGACGTGAGTTACTAGGGAGTAGATACTTTAGTATCCTTTCTGGAATGCTCACCTTTCAAAATAAGTACTAAGATTTTTGGGTGCTAAAGAAGACTCTTGAGAGTCCCTTGGACAGTACAGAGATCAAACCAGGCAATTTTAAAGAAAATCAATCTTGAATATTCACTGGAAGGACTGATGTTGAAGCTGAAACTCCAATACTTTGGCCACCTGATGCAGACAGCGAACTCACTGGAAAAGAAAGACCCTAATGCTGGGAAAGACTGAGGGCAGAAGGATAAGAGGGTGACAGAAGATGAGATGGTTGGATGGCATCATTGACTCAGTGGGCTTGAGTTTGAGCAAACTCCGGTAGACAATGAAGGACAGGGGAGTCTGGCGTGCTGTAGTCCATGGGGTCACAGAGAGCTGGACACAACTTAGCAAGTAAAGGACAACAACTAAGATTTTACATTCTAAAAACTGGTAATGAAGAAGCAAATCACTTTGTTTTTACCAGAAAAGATTGCTTAGAGCACAAACAAACTAATCATTTATATTTCACAATTTTCAACACTTAAAAAAAAACTTAATTTCACAATGACCAAATGAAATAGCATTTAATATACATTTTCAAACTTCACTCTACAATATGTGCTGGCATCATAAATTACATCAGACTTGTAAACTGTTTCCCTCATCCTATAGTAGTTTAAAAAACTACAAATGATGAATCTGAAACAATCACATCCTGATGCTAATATATGAAAGTAAATGAGACTCTCATTAAAGCTTTTAATCAGCTGAATCTGACAGAGTGCTTTAAGCTTCTTAACAGAAGATGTAAATCACTAAATTCCTTCTAACTCAAAAATAATCCCACGATTATGAAGCAGCTTTTGTCATCTGGCAGAAAAGATACTCAATGAGAGAGGCTACACAAGCTGGTAATCATTTAAGAATTTAGTTCCATTCACATAGATGAAATTACTACTGGACACTTCACAGACTGAAATTCATTTTATTATGCTAAGGCATGAGGGACTGATTTTTATGTCAGTTTGTCTTTGGGGTGTTTGTTTTAGTCTTTATACTCTACAAAGTATAGAATGGTTTTGTGTGTGTGGGGGTGGGTGTGTAATGACTGCTGGAAATGTTGACTGTGGGTAACAGCATGGACTCTAAGTCAGGCCACCTGGGTTAGAATCCCAGCTACACTTTTTCTAGCTGAGTGACCTCGTGAATAAACTCACATCACTGTGCTATCACTTCCGTAACTATAAAGTGGGTATGATACTAGTAACTACTTTCAGGTACAGCTATGAGGATTAAATGATTAAATATACATGGGGCACTCAGAAGACTGTCTGCATAAAGTAAGCACCACTGAAGTATTATCTATTGTTAATAAATCATAGTTCTGTCTCCAGTACAAAAATTACAATTATACTTCACTGTGTTCCACAAGATATTTATTTCATATTTCAGAAGTTGTTTTGGGTAGAAGGATCTTTAACGGCTAGATAAACTCACCATCACAATTATTTTCAGAATCTGGGAACATTAAATTCTGCTGTGTTTCATTTAACTCCCTAATAATTAGTACATTTTTTTCTCACTCTTCTCTCTCTTCCTTCCTCTTTTTCTCCCTCCCTCTCTTCTTCTCCTAGGTGGCTCTAGTACACATGATAATATAACACATGACCCTTGAAGTAAGAAATGTGCAGTTCATGCCATATGACCCAACAATCCCACTTCTGGGCATACACACTGAGGAAACCAGATCTGAAAGAGACACGTGCACCCCAATGTTCATCGCAGCACTGTTTATAACAGCCAGGACATGGAAGCAACCTAGATGCCCATCAGCAGACAAATGGATGAGGAAGCTGTGGTACATATACACCATGGAATATTACTCAGCCATTAAAAAGAATTCATTTGAATCAGTTCTAATGAGATGGATGAAACTGGAGCCCATTACACAGAGTGAAGTAAGCCAGAAAGATAAAGACCATTACAGTATACTAACACATATATATGGAATTTAGAAAGATGGTAACGATAACCCTATATGCAAAACAGAAAAAGAGACACAGATGTATAGAACAGACTTGTGGACTCTGTGGGAGAAGGAGAGGGTGGGATGTTTCAAGAGAACAGCATCGAAACATGTATATTATCTAGGGTGAAACAGATCACCAGCCCAGGTTGGATGCATGAGACAAGTGCTCGGACCTGGTGCACTGGGAAGAGCCAAAGGGATCGGGTCGAGAGGGAGGTGGGAGGGGGGGATCAGGATGGGGAATACACGTAAATCCATGGCTAATTCATTTCAATGTATGACAAAAACCACTACAATATTGTAAAGTAATTAGCCTCCAACTAATAAAAATAAATGAAAAAAAAAAAAGAAATGTGTAGTTCAGATAAGGGATACACACAAAATACTAAATAAAAGTGTTACAATACACATACACAGACATATCCTTTAGAATTTTATACTACTGGATTTATGTGTATATACTCCAATGGGAGAAGAGAAGGCAGGAGTTAGTCTAATTTTGTGGGAATGCACTCGGAGAGCACTAAACAACTGTAGTGGGATACAAGGCTAAGCAAAGTGGATACAGCTAGAAACTTTGACATAAAATCTGTGCGAAAATATAAAATCTTCACATAAAGTCTTTGTTAAGCAAAGATATTAAAGGACAGCTTAGATTTATTGTACAAATTCATCTGCAGAAAGGTTGAAACTGGAAATAGTTCAGTTATGATTCAATGAGGGAAAAAAAGCACAACAGAAGTAAGCAATGTACACAAAAATTTCAAATAAAGTAGACATTCTTGACTGTCTTCCGAAATCCATTTACTATTCCTCCCTCCTAAAAGAACTTCAACATTCCCAGGTATCTGCTCGTCCCTGATACAGCTCATGTGCCTTAAGGGAAAATTAACCCTACATTCAGCTTCAGTATGGGTAAGAATGGCGTAAGGGTAATCTCATAACCCTTGCCAGGGATTGGTTCAGAAATAAGCAGGTGATCTACTCCTGAACCCATGAGGTCAATGAAATGACAGATGTGTTAAAAACTTTGGGGAAAGTTTCCAGGGGGTCTTTAAGAAGCAACCTTTGCTATTTCCAACTGGATGTGATCCAAGTAGCATGCACCCCAACTGCTACTGGCAAACAGCCTATGAGTATTAGGGGAAACTTCCTTAGTATGCAACCACTGAACAGAAGGGCTGAGAGTCCGAGAGAAAACACTAGCTGATGATGCCATTGAGATGCTGCATTAACCAATTCTAAAGCAGTTCATTATTTAAGCCGGTACATTTCCTTCCTGTTTAGTATCAGGTGGCATTTCTGTTACTTGCATCTGAAGGTATGCTAAATAATATTAAGCTTCTGAGCTTGAACATGAAGAAAAAGTTATGTTGGCCACAGAAATAAGAAAATTGAGATGGGACTTTATTTGCAAAGTTGACAACTTTAGTTTGGGGCACTTTAAGAGCAAGTTGATAAGGCCAGCTTTCTTACACCTGTATCCTGGTAAAATCAGAGTATATTTATGAATAAGAACCAGTGTCCTTATTCTCTGGCTAAGAAAAATGTCTTATTTATCTTGTAGAATTATGGTGAAAGGTAGAAAGTTGACGGGAGTGCGGATGGAATCTATCCTTGACTCAGAGTCACAGTTGGCTTTACACGCTGCTCCCTGGTGCCTGTATTTAATTCCTCCAGTTTTGATCTTTATCTGCCATTATCAAGGAAACCGGCTGCTCCATCCACCAGTGTTGATGTCCATGTCAAGTCCTTATGTAAGAGGCAACTGATACCTCCATTTATTTCCTGGAAATCTTGATTTTCTGGCTTTTGACTTAGTTCATTACTAAATTTCTCCAGCAACACAAGAATATGTTCTTTGACTATTAATCTGAGAATGTGATTCAGAATTATTTCTTCATTCTGGCTGCTTAACAGCTAATCTTGTTGCTATCACACCCCCAAAAATTAGATACACTGAGATTTTAAAGAAGTTTTAACTTCATACATTTTGAACACAATAAAAATTTTTTGTTTAAAAATACGATTATATGCTTGTGAATCTAGTGAAAACACACAAAGTTAGTCTGCATTTACTGTTTTGGTCTAATTAAAACATTTTAATAATTATTTCAAAATGGCCAACCATATTATTAAACTATATCAATTAAATAATAGGAGATACCACTTTTAAGAACAGATAGATTTTTGCTTTGATAGTAAGTTCTTCCTAAAAACCATTTAATGTCATAGTCTGAGATTTTTTACCTGATGTTCCAGTTTCGTGATTTTTCTCTTCGGCTTTGCCATTTAACTTGAAAGGTCTTTGTTCATCCGCCTCATCATCCCCCCACCATGAAGGCTGCCCATATAACGGAGTACCACGGGGCATGGCAGAAGTATCTGTAAAGAAGTGGGGAAAATCTGTCTAAAGCACATGAAACAGGAAAAAAAACAAACAAACATGCTTTTGGAGAATGCTAGAATTGCTCAGTTGACTTAATGAAAAAACAAAGTACAGTTGACCCCTGAACAATGCAGAGTTTAGGAGCCTCTACCCTCTCTGCAGTTGAAAATTCAAGCATAGTATAACTTATAGTTAGCCTGCTCCCCTGGTGGCTCAGATGGTAGAGAATCTGCCTGCAATGGGGGAGACCCAGGTTTGATCCCTGGGTCGGGAAGATCCCCTGGAGAAGGAACTGGCAACCCACCCCAATATTCCTGCCTGAAGAATCCCATGGACAGAGGAGCCTGGTGGGCTAGAGTCCATGGGTCGCAAAGAGCAGAACACTTATTCAACAACTTTCACTTCCGAATCCACAGTTCCTGTGTGTTAGTCACTCAGTAATGTCCAACTCTTTGCGACCCTCTGGACTCTAGCCCACCAGGCTCCTCTGTCCATGGGATTCTTCAGGCAAGAATACTGGAGTGGGTTGCCAGTTCCTTCTCCAGGGGATCTTCCCAACCCAGGGATCAAACCTGGGTCTTCCCCATTGCAGGCAGATTCTTTACCATCTGAGCCATGAGAGAAGCAGTTCTGCATTCACAGATTCAACTAATGTGAATTGTGTAATGTTATAGTATTAACTATTGAAAAAAACCTGCATTTTTTTTTTTTTTTTAATATGGTGCTGCTCAACATGGAGAAGGCAATGGCAACCCACTCCAGTAATCTTGCCTGGAAAATCCCACAGACGGAGGAGCCTGGTAGGCTGCAGTCCATGGGGTTGCAAAGAGTCGGACATGACTGAGCGACTTCACTTTCACTTTTCACTTTCATGCATTGGAGAAGGAAATGGCAACCCACTCTAGTGTTCTTGCCTGGAGAATCCCGGGGACGGGGGAGCCTGGTGGGCTGCCGTCTATGGGGTCGCAAAGAGTCGGACACGACTGAAGCGACTTAGCAGTACCAGCAGCAGCAGCTGCTCAACAGTTCAAATCAGTGCTGTTCAAGGGTTAACTGCACAGTCTAGATAGCAGAAAATACTCTAAGTTGAATAGTACTTGTGGATCTCATTCAATATTGAACATGAGAAACAAATTTTGCACTGGCTAATATACAAGTAATATAAACTGCTATAGTCCAACAGCTTTTAGTCAAAGTGCAACTTGTTCGCTGGTACATAGAAATGGCTCATAAGTCTAAACATAAAAGACAAAACTAAATTTTGGTTTAAGTGGCTGTTTTAAAAAATTTGAAAGCCTAACGACACTGCACAGTAAATTTAAACTAGTTGTTAACTGGACTAATAAGCTTATATTTGAGCAATTTGGTAATTTATAGAAGTTTTCAAAATTGTTTTTGTATGACTGGGATTATGTATATAAAATATTCTTTAAGCTCCTACTGTAATATGATACATATCATAATAATTATGATAATGTAGCCATTATTGGACATTTCCTTTTCATTCATTTCAGTTATAATCTAGGGGGGAAAAAGCAGACAAATATGAAATAATAAAAATTAAAAAAAAAAGAAATAATAAAAATACTATAAGGCAAATTATATTTACTTTCCTCAAATGAACATACTAAACAAACCTACATACAACTGCCATATAATTATGTTCTATACTGCTTTCTAAGAAGCACTGGCTGCATTAAAACCCACTCTGAAATTGTCATTATCATTCACTATTTTTATAAGGACATGGACAATTTTCTGAGAACAAAGCATGCAATTTCTCCATAATCAAGAATAAACATGATATTTTCAAAGAGGTTAACTTACCAACAACTTTCTCCTCAGATTTCAGTGCTTCTGTAGGTTTGTGCTGCACTTCTGTTGCAGAATCTGCTACCTTTGAATCTATGCTTTTGGCACATGCAGATTTTGATAATTCTGATTCTGAAGATTTTTGGGACAACTGAAGCTGAATGGTAAATTTCTCATGCTACAAAACATTTTAAAATGGAAGTGAAATATCCATGAGTGAAATCAACCCTAGTAAATGGCAGGTTTACAAAAGAAATAAGTAAAACTGTTTACCTTGAGAGCTTCTTCAGGGACCCTCATTTCTCCTCGTACTACAGTGAAAAGATTTGTATGTAAACAGGGCTAAGGAAGAATATAATTTCAAAACTCTGATAAGCTTAAAACAATCAAAGATAATACAGAAATTGTCCTATTTTCAAGAAGTAATTATAAGAAAATGACCATATTTCCCTTAAGAGTTAAATGTTAAAAAAAAGTTAAATGTTAAATTATGTTGACACATATAAAAATTTTTTAATACTAAATAAAATCTTAAAAAGTCTAGCAAGTAATTCCAAACTTAGGTAATAATCACGGCCTTCAAGAAGCAAACAACTAGGTGATTAACCTAAGCACAAAAGACATTTTCAGTTCTCACTAACAGTAACATGACCACAAAGAAGAAAAGCACCTGGATGAAATTATATTGATAGCTAATCACAAAAATCTAAAAAGAAGTGTCATCAGTGATTACCCAACAGTAAATCCTGAAGAAATTCAATTATTCCTACTTCCCAAGCACTGATAAAAATGAAATCCATCTTGAAAATGCAAAAGAAATGCTATAATTAGGGTCTTTAAGCAACTACAACCACTCCTTTCCCCCATGAATTGCAATCAGGGTCAAATTACATTATCAAACAACTGATTCTATACAGATTAGAACCAAGTGCTAAATATAATGAATGCTTTCATTATTATGCCAAAAAGAACAATGCCTCTGTATGTTAAAAAGATCTTTCACTAAACAACAGAGGTCACATTTCTCACCATTACTTAACCCCTTAATGAAAGGACTTTCATAACCACATAGTAAATTCTAGTCTTCTTTATCAGTTCAGAGCACCCATGACTTCGAGGGTAAAAAGCTATAATTATCATGACCACTTGGGAGAAAAATAGACTTCCCATGCATAACAAGCAGTAAACTTGTTTACAAGTATTTGTTCCACAGTTCTACTCATCAAAATAATAAAAACTCAGAATTTTCCAGAATTGTAAAGCGCTTTGGGAATATCCTATTCAATTCCATTAACCCACCTTCCCATTCTATCCATGTGGAACTTGAGGACTAGAGAGGCAGAACCCAAGATAATAATCTAGTCAACTGAATACTAGTCCAGGGCTTTCTTATCACTTTACATTGCTTCCAGTAACTGTGAAATAATAAAAAATTTCCTTTTTTATTATGTATATATGCTGATACACATTTGCTGGTATCTAGTAAGCTTTTGTTTTACTCCCAAAAAACTCATTAACAGCTGCAGAAGATTCACTGCATTCCTACATTTACAGTGGAAAACACCATCTTAAAAATACTGAAAGTCATTTCTATTTTTCAATGGGAAACAAATGATTTTAGCCTGCTGTGAGTGCTTTCTGCTGCTTCAAGTTTCTCCTGGGAGTGCCCCAGGCTATTCCTCAAAGTTAGTCTAGGGCATCCTCTTAAATGTAGACTTCTTTAGGATCAAGGAAAACTTATAAAGAGGGTATAACTCAGATTCACATACTTTGCCTTACCAAAAAGCTCCTGGGTGGGAGACCAAAGAATTCAAGATTCTTCTTGTTCAGGTAGTGAATTTGCCTGAGAGTTCCAGTATGACTATGAGATTTTCGAGCCTGCTCTGACTCCAGCTTTCTCCTTCAAAGCTACCATCTTGCTGGTGGTACAGATGGTACAGACCCAGGTAACTGTTTTTAGCTTGCTTAACTCAGAAAAATGACTAAGGTACAATTACTTATGATGTCAAGTTATAAAACACACAATACAGTCATATACAGCTGTATGTCAATGATATCTCAAAAAATTTCAGAAAAAGTTACATGCTTACTTAAACCTTGTTTACTAAAAATCACTAATATTTACAAATTATTTTCACACTTCTTTGAATAAGAAACAACTGAAAAACAGAAAAAAATATGTGAAACAATGGTTTGCAAAGACAATCAATACCAGGTAACAAAAGACAGTGATTCTTGAGTGAAGAGGAACAAATCAAGGGGAGTGCAATCACTGCCCTAACTCAGGATCTTTAGAAAGCTTCCAAGTCACACTGGAGGGAGGGGTAAGCAAGGCTGAACCTGGCAGACTCTAAGCTGAGAAGAAAAGGGGTTGAGAGTCTGGGCAGACCAAGATGACTACAGTTCAGAAAGCTGCACAGAAATAGTATTCCAGAGATTGTTACAGGGGCTGGCTAAAGCATTCAGTTGGGTACTGATCAGCACATTAATTTGAGAAAACTTATACCTATGGCTGGGACAAGAACCACCTTAAAGTATTCAAGGTAATAGTGCCCCCTATCAGAGAGAGCCAGGAATAGTGTCTAATTACAAGAGCCAAGCTGGAAAACCTCATGTATAATGGGCCACTGGATAAAGCAGGGGTTGGCAAATTGTTTATCTATTGAGGGCCAGACAGTAAACTTTCTAGGTTTTGGAAGCCATATGATTTCAGTTTCAACTACTCAACTTTGCTATGACAGTGCAAAAGCAGCTAAAGAAAGATGTAAATGAGTAGATATGCCTGTGTACAAATAAAATTTTATTTACAAACACAGGCTGTGAGTCAGGTTTACCAATGGTCTTGTTGACCCCTAAAGCAGAGTACACAGAAAGGTAGTGCTTCTATAACGGGGAATTAATTAGCCCCAGACTAATCTTAGAAGTTCAAAAAATTTTAGAAAAGCAGATTCAACATGATAAAACTATTTCAAAGTAACCTGTGTCCCAGAACAAAGCTCAAAAATATTTATAGGAATCCAAAAGTATGCATACAATATTCAACAAGGTAGAAAAATTCACAATGTCTGTCATTCAGTCAAAACAATGAATGTAAAAATCAATCAAAACTGACTCAGAGCTGACACAAATGTCAACATTCTAACACAGTTAATATCACTGTATTCCATATGTTTAAAAAATATGTAAAGACTTCAAAGATATAAAAGAGAAAATCCAAATTTTTGAGCTGAAAACTATACTGGATAGGGAAATTGCATGTTAGACACAGCCAAAGAAAAGTTTAGTAAACCTGAAGACTGCAACAATAATAACAACCCAAAGTGAAACATAAAGAGAACAGACCCTCATTAGAAAAATAATAAATAGAGCCTCAGTAAGCTAGGAGGTGACTTCAAGTAGCCTAATATACATTTAAATGAAGTCCTTGGAAAAAAAGTGGGGAAAACAGAAAAAAGAATTAAAAAAAATAATGGTTGAATTTTTTTCTAAATCTGATTAAAAGTAAAAACCCACAGATTCAAACTCAAAAAACCCCAAGCACAAGAGACATGAAGAAAACTGTACAAAGGCACATTAAAATCAAACTGCTCAAAACCAGGGGAAAAGGGAACCAATGCAAGTCAGAACAAATTTAAACTACTTAAAAGAAATGTCATCTAGAATTCTATGTCCAGCAATGGTAACTTCTAATAACTAAGGTGAAATGCTTTTCCAGACACACGAAAGCTGAAAGAATTCATCATCAGCAGAGCTGTACTATAAGAAATAGTAAAAGAAGTTCTTTACACAATAAGAAAATGAAACTAGATGAAAATATGGATCAATATAAAAAAGGATGAGCACAAGAAATGGTAATTACAGTGGTTCAAGATATGAATATAATGGCCATAAAAATCTATTTTTCTTATTATTTAAACCTCTTTAAAAGATAACTGATGCTTTACTGATATCAATGTAAAATGCAATTTGTAATATATATAGAAATAAAATGTATGACAATCACAGCACAAAGATCAGGACAGAAAAAACGAAAGTATACTACTGTAACATTCTTATACTGTATGTGAAGTAGTATAATGTCATTTGAAGACACAGCTTAAAAGTAAAGATAAAATTATAAAATCTTAACCACTAATTTTTTAAAAAAGGGTTAGAGTATAAAATAACAAAGATGACAAAATGAAATCATAAAAAAGCTCAATAATCCAAAATAAGTTAGGAGAAAAAGAGAAAAAACTGATGGGGCAAATAGAGCACAAATATCAATATGATAGATTTAATAACCACATCATTAAATGTAAATGCTCTAAATCCCCAGATGAAGGCAGAAAGGATCAAACTGAATAAAAACTAAGACCAACTATGTGTTGCCTACTTCAAATGTAAAGACAATAATAAGTCAAAAGTAAAAGAATGCAAGTGATATACCACGCTAACACTGAACAAAACTAATGTCCAGACAAACCAGATTTCAGCACAAAAAATGTTATCACAGATAAAGCAAAGCATTTTATAACTATAAAGGGGATCAATTCATCAAGACACAACAATTCTAAATGTTTACACTTTTAATAACAGTGTTTCAAATTACATGAAGCCAAAACTTCTGCAAGGAGAAACAAACCCAATGAGATTCTAAAATTTTGATAGTATGTTCTCAGTAACTGATAGAACAACTAGACAACAAATCAGTAAAATACAGAAGATGTGAACAACACTACAACTAATTTGACCTAATAGAATACTCCAACCAAAAACGGCAGAATGCACATTCTTTTCAAGTACACAGAGCATATTTACCAAGATAGAGTAGATATACCATGCGTGACAGGACAGGATTTGAAAAATGAAGTATGTTTCTGACCACTATGGGTAAATTGGAAACTAGTACAGAAAGTCCCTTGGAAAAATTCCAAACATTTAGAAACTAAGTAACAAAGACAGCTCAAAGATGAGCAGAGAAACCAGAAAGTACTTACCACTAAAGCAGCACAGGCGCCCTTCACTGCGCTTCCCTTTACTGTGCTCTGCAGACAGTCTCCTACAAACCCAAGGTCTGCGGCAACCCTGCACCCAGCAAGTCTATCACAGCCAGTTTTCCAGTGGCATTCACTCACTTTGTGTCTATGTATGGTAATTTGTACATTTCAAGCGTTTCCATTAGTTTTATATTTGTTGTGGGATCTGTGATCAGCGATCCTTTTAAAAAGTTATTTTTGCCTGTGCCAGGTCTTGGCTGCAGCATGTGGGATCTTTTGTTGTGGTCCGTCGGTTTGTGGCACATGGGCTCTCTATCGAGG